CTGACAATCGTATAGGTGCTCCTTTATAGATTACTACCTTCTTTGCTCTTGCTTCTTTTAATATTCTCTCTTTGTCTTTTGCTCTTGGAATTTTAATAATGATGTGTCTCAGTGTGGTCCTCTTTGGATTCCTTTTGTTTGGGGTTCTATGCGCTTCCTGGACTTGTAAGTCTAATTCTTTCACCAGGTGGGGGAAGTTTTCTGTCACTATTTCTTTCAGTATGTTTTTGATATCTTGCTCTCTCTCATCTTCTGGGACCCCAATAATTCTGATGTTGGTTCGCTTGAAGTTGTCCCAGAGGTTTCTTACATTATCTTCAATTTTCTGGATTCTTTTGCCTTCTAGCTTCTGTGGAGGAGTGTCTTCTGGCTCTTTATGTTCCAAATCTTTGACTTGATTCTTGTGATCGTCCCTTCTGTTTTTAGGACTCTGTAAAATATTTTTTATTTCAGACAATGTATTCTTTATTTCTTGTTGATCCCTTATCATTTCTCGATGACTCCTTATTAATTCTAGTTGATCTCTTTTCATATCCTCATAGGCCTTATCCATCTTTTCTAGGAAATTCTTGAAAAACCTTATAAGCGTAGATTTGAACTCTATATCCAGACGCTTTTTGTCCTCCATTTCTTTCGTTTGTGATCTATTTTGTTGTCGCATTTCGCAGTTACAGATGGGACAGGGTTTCAGGGTGGAGCCTGCAGTTTTGGCTTCCGTCAGCCCCGCCCTATGTGGGTCCTTCAGTGCTCCCTGCCGGCGCCTCTGAGAGAAAGGTGCCCTCGATTTTCGCCTGCTGCCAAACAGTCTATGCTCTCCCCCAATGAGCTCGGTATTGGGGTTCAGTTCCGTTGGAAGTGGAGTTGGAGGTGGCGTTCAGAGCAGTCTGGAGCCCCAGTCTCCTTCCCGTCAGGGCAATCCCGCGGCACAGCCGACCGTCCCTTCTCTGCGCGCCGTGTGTGCGCACTGCCGGGACTTCCTTTCACCACTTCCCCGGGGTTCCGCCTTACAGCCCGGCTCCCTATGGCTGAGCCTGAGTCCCCGGGGTCTGGCTTAAAACTGGGGTTCAGAGCAGTCGGGGGCCCAGCACAATCGGAGTTTTATCTCCTTTCCGATAGGGAACGCCCGCCAGGCACTTGGCCTCCCTCCTCTCCGGCTCCGTCCTCTCCACGCGCTGCGTCTCCGTACCTTGGGCTTTTCCAGCTCCTCCGCACCTCCTTCTGGTTTTCTCCTTGCTTCTCACTGTAGAATTTCCAGTCAGTCAACCTTCCTCTAGTTCTGGGCAATGTCCGTTTTATATTTTAGTTGTATTTTATTGAAATTGTTGTGTGAGGCTGCGGCTAGGTGTTCACCTGGGCACAGCCATCTTCAGGTTAAGGTTCTTGAGATGAACAGGTTAAGGTTCTTGAGATGAACAGATCATGAGGAATAATCTGTTGGGAGGGGAGATTCTGAAGTCAGTGGAGAATGAAGATCCAGGAGATGGGGAGACCCCACCATGCTGTGGGGTCTGTGCACAGTGAGGGCTGTGACTTGGAGACCCCATCATGCTGTGGGGTCTGTGTACACTGAGGACTAGGTGGCAGGGAGACCTCACCCATGGTGATGTTCTTGTGTTGGGCAGTGTGATAAAGCAGAGCTGAGCAGGCAGTAGGCTGTAGGCAGCCTCGGGCCAGTCTGAGATGCCCGATAGGCAGAGTCTATTTTGCATGATCCAGAGGTGAAGAGCTTGGATGAGATCCTGTCACACACAGCTGCTGCCCTAAGGTACCAGCACCTTAGGTGATAGGATGTGATAGGGTGTGTGATAGGATGGCAGCCACAGCTTCAGGATGCATGCCCACATCCACAGGAGCCCTGGGTGTGCAGTGGTCTTTCCTCATGACCGCACACTCTAGCAATGCACACGGTGATGAGGCTGCTGGTTCAGGTATTTCTCTCATTTTGGTTTGTGTTGGAGAGACTAGGACACCCTGTACCTTCGAGGGCATCTTGATCCACCCACCCACCAGTCCCCCCATGTTGCTCCTACCTTGTCAGGGCCATGTCCCACGTGGATAAGATAACTGGGAAGAAAGGCATTGTGAGTTCAGCAGGCAGCTCCCACCTCTGGTAGGAAACCAGTTTACTCTAAGATGGTCCTTGAATAGGTGGGCTTGTATCTGTAGACTCTGGTATGTATGTGCACCCTGAGCAGCTTTGGCCTGTCCTGGCCATATCTCACAACCTGGGACCCTTTTCTTTCTCACCAGTGTCTACCCTGCAGGCTCACTCTCCTAAGCAGTCATGACCTAGCATGTAGATAGAGGACAGAAGCTGCCAGAGACTCAAGCCAGGACCTTGGGCAGGTTCAGGTGTCTGTCCTCTCATCTGTAAGAGGAGTAAACAGACCTCCCAACTGAAGACCCTCTGAGCATTGGAGCAGACATGAACATGACTTTCAGATGAAGCACTTAGTGGGTACTAGGAATGGGCCCTGTCTGACCCGCCCCCATCATCCTCTTTTCTAATCTTCACTCCCTAGCAGAGTGTCTTAATGCTGTTGTCCCATATTCAAACCAAACCACCCTGTGGAGCAGTGGTCGCCAGTGGTGGTCCATGAGGTCTGAAAGGTTGGCAACCGCTGCTCTGGCGCATCGTATCCATTGGAAAATGCAGCCCAAGGCCCAAGCCACTGAATCCCAGGGACCTCCTGAGGCTGTTCTTTGTGTCTGTCCTCACCCCCATGGTGCAGGAGCCCAGTGATGGCTGCTCTAGCTCCCTTTTCCAGGGCATCTGCCCCAGAGCCTCAGGATAAGGGTTGGCCTCATTAACAGCAGCTGCATGTGCTGGACATGGAACAAAACGAGCGCTGAAGCAGTGGGGCAGTTGGAAGTAGGATGAGGAAACCCCCCAAGGGAGCAGCCTCAAGTTATTGGTGCACATCCAGGGACACTCACCAGGCCTAAACCCTCCTTTGCATCCAGCTGGGCTTCTGCAAAAATACTATGGGCACGAGCCCTGTACTCATCTAGGAAACATGACCCCGCTTGAGCAGAAGGCACACTTCCCTCCCCTTGATTTTACCAGGCCAGGGAAGTTTTCTGCCATTATTTCTTCAGACATGTTCTCTATCCCTCTCTCCCTTTCTGCCTTTTCTGGCAAACATGCTATTCCAATTTAATGTTGTTTTACAGCTCCCTTAAGCTCTCCTTGTTTTTTAATTGTCTTTTTCTTCTTTATGGTTCTCTGAGTTTTTTCAACTTTGTCTTCTAATTCACTGATTCAATCCTCATCTTCCCCTAGTCTACTGTGTATTCCTTCCAATGTGTTCTTTATTTGTGCTGTGTCATTCTTTATGCTTTCATAGTTACTATATTTTTCTCATGCTGTTGAGCATCTTTACTTCTGAACTCTATATCAGATAAATTTCTTATCTCCATTTCATTTAGCTCTTCTTCTGGAGAATTCTTTTGTTCTTTCATTTGCAGGTAGTTTCTTTGTCTCCTTTTGGCTGCCTGTTTGGGTTTGTGACTATGCATTACATAGATCTCCTTCTCTCAGTGTCTAGTGCAGGACTGTTTCTGACCAATTAGATCAGGCAAAGCCTCTAAGCCTCCAGAGACCACCTCGGCCTGCAGACTGATAGGAAGGGGCAGAGGAGGGAATAAGAGATGGTGAATAAAATTCAAGGGCACTGAGGAGCAGGTGCTGCTTAAGACTCAATGGGAGACCGTGCTAGAGGATCTTGTGGTACTGGTACCTTAGGGCAGCAGCTGTGTGTGATAGGATGGCAGCCATAGCTCCAGGATTAGTGCCCACATCCGCAGGAGCCTTGGATTGTGCAGTCTGGGCCATACAGCACAGCCTTGAGCCAGTCTTGCTCCTAGGTCCTGGCCCTGTACCCAGGTCTCTGTGTCCGGGCTCAATGGCCTTCACTCTAGAAACTATACATGGGCTTCTGTGGCTCTCCCAGCAGCAAGCAGCTCCTAGTGCCTGAGAATGGATGCTTCCCCACTCCGCCTCACAGGCCTGCTTCTCACTGAGGAAGCTGAGGAGAGGATGAGACCAAATGATCCTCTGGGAAGCAGGACCACCCTTGCCTTCAGAGGAGCTGGAGGACCAGCCCTGTGGCTTTTCACTTTCAAAATGAATCAGGGAAAATTGCCTCCTCGACAAGCCCATTGCTACCCCACATTTCCAAAAGGATGCCAAAATCTGGAAACATGTGGATGTGGAGATCAGTTGCAAATGTGAAACCTAACTACAATTTGGGTGTCTTTCAAGTTTTACTAAAACCTTCAGCTAATAATTAAACTGGCAGCAGTAAAAGGGGAGGGGGCTCCTCCCAGGTGAGGCCGTGGGGCCTTGGAGGGGCCTCCTTGTAAAGTGGTCTCACGCCAGGGTAAATGCCTCAACCAATACAGCTGCCTCCTGGAGGGCATTTCACCCAACCCCAAACCAAGTCAAGCCCCCACCCTGATTGCATACAGTCGAGTTTTCTGTGTTTTTTGGAAATAGCTCAAGGACTGATGGTTTTTTGTTTTTTCTTCTCTCCTGAAATTTCTGTGTGCTGATGTGGGGCATCCAGGGAAGATCACTTGTGAAAACCAGCACGGGCCTTTCCTCATCTTGCCCTCCCCCCACCTCCACTGTGCCCCTATTCCACGCTCTGCCTTTAACAGGAATGGGATCAAATATCTGCAAAGCTCCGGACAGCTAAGCACAGCCAGAAAATGAGTTGAAGGTCTCCCACCCGCAAACCTGGATTGGCACTGACATTGGCAGCAGTGTCATGCCGAGGGCTCAGGCCGCTCTTCAGTTTGGGGCTGAGAAGGGCAGTGAGTCGCCCTCCAGGACAGACATTGCTGAACTGTGGCTGTAGCCTTGAAGATCACACCTGCTGGGCAGGTGAGCAAGCACAGCAGCCTGCTCCCCTGTGGCCTGCATGTCAAGGACCTACTTGAATTTTCCCTGGTTGAAAGAAAATCAAAACAAGAATAACATTTTGTGACACATGGAGTTCCTATTTCCAAGGTAGTTTTATTGAAACCAGCATAACCATTGCTCACAAGTCCAGGTCATCTTCACATAAACAGGAGACCTAAGATGTCGTGACAGGCACCAAAATGGCTCAAAAGATGAAGCAGTTTCTTCCTGTACTTTTACAGAAAGTCTGCTGACCCCTGCCCTCAGCTAACAAAAGAATCGTCCCCCTTTTTTTATTGATTTTTAGAGAGAAAAGAAGGAGAGGATAGAGAAGAAGGAGAAGGGATAGAGAGAAACATGGATGAGAGAGAAACATCATTGACTAGCTTCCTCCTGGACATCCCTGAGCCTGCAATCTAGGCATGTTCCCTGACCAGGAATCAAACTGTGACCTCTTGGTTCATGGGTTGACGCTCAATCACCGAGCAACAACAGCAGGGCAGAGATCTGCCTTTGTGGATGAAATGTCAGAGCCGTTTCATTTAGTTGCATTCGAAGGACTTGCACTGTGTCTACCTTCATAGAGAGTAAATGAGTCCACATTAAGTTTTAGGAACTGCAAACACCTTACAGGATGACAACCATCTGACAAAATACAGGGTAAAGTGCAGACAGATTTTGGTGCAGGAATGATGCATGTAGAGAGCTCAGCCCCGCACACAGGCCCGACGTCAGTGTCAGTGGGTAAGCTCCAACTCGGGAGAGGGAAAGCAGGACCGGAGACACCCTGCTCTATGCCGACGAATGATGATGATGGTGGCTCCAGAGGGTCTAATGATCTGATCCACTCGGTGGGAGCCATCAGGACACGTGCTACCTGGATGCAAGAGATCACCAGGCTGCCTGCTGACCTCCTTTCTCCGGTCTAGCATCTGAGCATCCTAAGGTCCACTCCCCTCATGTAATTCCCTAGGGTGGAAGTGTAAGGTGAAGACAGTGCACCAGGTGAGGAGGACAGTGAAGATGAAGACAGAGAACTGGCAGTGGGAGCACTGAAGGTGAAGTTGCATTGCCATGGATGTGTTAGTCTAAGGAATTGGAATTTTGCTACAAGGTGGAGGGGGTGGGAAGGAGGGGGGTGTCTAGAAAGATTCATGCACCTGGTGTGGAGGGGCCAGGAAAGGGGGAGTTAGTGCACCTGGGGTGGGAAGCAGTGGGAGGTAGAAGTGAGCACTTGGGTGGGGAGCAGGGGCTGTGTGAGTTCTTAGTGTCAAGGTTTTTGGTGCTTTTGCCTCAGCTTGGTGACTGTTAGTGGGTTTAAATGGGTAGGTTTCTGTGTTTTGACCTCGAGTCATCAACTCAAGAAGGATTTTCTGCTACTGGAAGAATCTAAGTGCCCCAGGAGGGAGCATAGCCCTGCAACACCCTGACCTTGTACTTCTGGCCTCCAGACCTGGAGAGCACACTCCTGTTGCCGTATACTGTGTGGACTTGCTGAGGTCAGCTCAGAAATCTAGCACTGCCCAGGGCAGTTCCCTGAACCCACCCAGGACCCGAACACAGCAGCACAGGGCCTGAAGGTGCCGTCCCAGGCACTGCAGACACTCAAGATTTAAGGAGCCTCTCTGTGGACAGCCTCCCAGGATGCTCTTCAAAGCGGTGTGTGAGGTGCACGATCCTCCACTTTCCCCTCATCCCCCAAGGGGCCCGCTCGTGGACTCCAAACCAAGCAAAAAGCAGCATCGATGCGTATCTTCACAAAAAATCCTAACACTAACATTTTTCTTTTGTTTCTGGATAGAAATGGGGCAGTAAAAGCAAAAATCAAAACCTTTTAAACAGGCGCAATATTTACTATTTTCACCTTTGGCTAAAAACTGGGCAGTGAAATAGTATTTCAGGAGTTTACTAGTATATGATGAACTTAAGGTATGCTAGACTCTCAGCTTCAGTTAGAAAATAAAAATACAACCAAAAAGAAACTGGCCTGCCCACCAGAGAGATGGAACAAGTGAGGGTGGTGGGTCGCTTAGCGGCCCACAGAGGGGAGCAGGCTCAGGAATGCGGTCCTGGAGGAGGGACTGTGCCGATACAAGGTACACCTGCAGTGTTTAGACCCACAGTGAGAAAAAAAGCAGATTTTATTCACGGAGGCTTTACATCTTCCTTTTTTGCCCAAAAAGCGTGGAGAAAGGCTAATAATGCAGCTACTGGTGATGCTGGAGACCTGGGATAAAGCCATGCAAAGGGGTCCCTCAGTGCTGGGTGCAGACCAGCCTCTGAATGGAGAGCCACCACGCAGCTGTGCAGGGCTCACCAGGGCTCAGCCACGTGCTGGATGGCATGGGTGCTCCTGACGCGCCAGCAGCTCGAGGGGCCTTGGCGGGGTGCCGTTTGCTGTGTCCACAGGCAGAACTCCTCTCCTGCAGCTGCACCTTCAGGGCCTGCAGAGGACCCCTCCCTCAGTGGCTGCCCAGAACCTTCACAGCAGCCTTTGTCCTGAGGCAGGTAGGCCTCGGAGGCAGGACCACAAGTTTTCTCTGGCCCTGAGAATGGCCTCCTGTGACCGTCACCGGAAGGCAGCATGCAGGGGTTGAGGACAACATACTGAGATGCGATTCTCATCAAAAGCTCTCACCTCTACCCTCTCTGTCCTTCTAAGTCAGTTTTTTCATTCGTCGATTGTGCTTGTCAATGGTTAAGGTTGCCCGGTCCACGGCAGTGGCGATGCCATCCAGGGCCTCGTCCTGTCTCTCCAGCTCTGCCTCAGCATCCAAGGCAAGACCCTTCAGCTTCCCAAGGATCTGGAGAGAGGCACAGAGACAGGAGGGGCTTACTTTCCTTGAACTCTCAAAATGGACAATACTTTCCACCATTCTTATAATGCTTTAGGAATTTTGAAAGTCAGTGGGGATAACCCACCCTCTGTCCCACGATGGAGCCAAGGCAGAGCGTGGGTGTGGGTCTCAGCTCGGCTCTGCCGCTGACTGGAGAGCTGTTGGAAGATGATGCATTTGCCCCTGGCCTTGCTCCAGGCACGGGCAGCAGTCTGACCTCAAGTCCCTGAGGCATTACTGTTCCAGCCCACAGTATGCTGTGTCACCGGTGCCTTACCACATCCATGAGGAATTCCAGCGGTAGGAGAGGGGCGACAGACACAGGAGAACCAGAGAGCTGGGCCAACAACTAGGATCCAAGTTCCAGCTCCTGCCCAATCATTATGTTCATTACCTGTTTGCACCCAAGTACCTAACTGAACACTGAAGCTCAAAAAACAATATGTAAAAAAAAAAAAAGCAAAATCCTTTTGTCTGTGTGTTTGAAATATTTCACATACAAATACAAAAGGCAGAATAGAACACAGTACTAATAATTCAAATCACATAGCACAACTCTCCCAACCTCCGACTCCATGCCCAGAGCCTGAGAAACTGAGAAACAAGGGAACTAACCAGGAAGCACAGGCCTGGGGCTCCAGGAGGTAGAGAGGGACCAGGGTGAGGACATGGAGGGCACAGCAATGCCACAGGGGAGGCTGGTGGGTGCCCACAGGGTGGAGGCTGCACTGAGGGCCCTCCCCCCCTTGTGACTCATGCGTGTCAGCCTTCATACTAGTAAGACTGGTAAGCCAGTGAGAGTGGCCATTTTATCACAAGTCTCCTGAGACAAACTGCATTGTGAAATGTACTTTAACTAGATTCTTACTTGAGCCTGGATTGAATCATTTAATATTCTCAAGCTGACAAAAGGAATAGTTGTAAGAGAAATTATAATGACCAACTACTTGCTATAAATGATAATGCCTCTTTTAGGGAAACTTACAATCACTGGATAGTCCAAGCAGCAGGCACACAGAATAGCAGTATGAGAGACTGTGGAGCCTTGCTTGTCCCAGGGGATCAACTGCCATGTCACACTGAGATGGATGTCAGCAGCTGTCAGCCTGGACGAACACTCCAAAAGACCCCAAGTCCAATCCTATATAATAAAACCCTAATATGCAAATCAACTGAACAGTGGGACAACTGGTTGCTATGATGTTGCACTGACCATCAGGGGGCAGTCGCTCAATGCAGGAGCTGCCCCTTGGTGGTCAGTGCACTCCCACAGCGGGAGCGCCACTCAGCCAGAAGCCAGGGCTCATAGCTGGCAAGCACCACAGCAGCGGTGGTGGGAGCCCTGCCTCCATAGAAGCGCTAAGGACCTTCAGGGGATATCCAACAAAGGATCCCGGACTGCAAAAAGGTGCAAGCTGGGCTGAGGAAACCCGCCCCCCCCCCAGTGCATGAATGTCATGCACCAGGCCTCTAGTATGTTGACAATACATCATGCCCCACAATGACATCAGCCCCGGGTCCCACCAGGTGGTCCAAAGTGAATGGCCCCATACAGTGTCAGGAGGCGGGGATGGTACCTGGGCTGTCACATGGCAGCCCTACACTGAGAATCACAAGAATGCCTGATCACCTGGCCACCACCCACTGCCTGGGGGGACTGCTTCGTCAGGTTAACAAGAAACAGAGTCAAGGCAGGATGATGGCCAGAAGGATAATAAAAGCAGCCAGGAATGCTGAGGCTCCAATGAGGTTACAAATGTGAAAACTATGAGGTGCTGTGTGGTACCACAGCCAAGCCTCAGCACACTAGGCTGCGGCGCCAGTGCCACCCCATCTGTGGAAGGGACAGGGACGAGCAGAGCTGAGGTCATCTACGCAGTCACACATAGGTTGGTGGCAGAGGCAGGACTAACCCACATCTCTCCAAACACAGCATCTTCACTGGATCTTTATCCTGAGACACAGTAGATCATAACTGGGCTATCCAGCCCAGGCACTACCTTTCTACACCCTCTGGGAGCTGGTGGAAACTCCATCAGTTGAATCACTTGAAAAACTGGACAGCGCTTTGGAAAGTATACCAAAGGGTCAGCCGGCTCTGGAGGGGCTGGGCTGAATGACTAGTACAGGAGGTCTTTTCCATCTCTCATTCAAATGATCTCACAGGGCTGAGGCCCAAACAGCGTACTAAGAAAATCAGAGCTCACCACCATGTCATGCAGGTCCTTTCATGATGTTTTCTCTGGTCAACTATTCCCTCCTAACTTACCTCCATTGTTAGTGTGAGAAGACTACTCTACCAGATACTTGTACAAAATGTCCATGGAGATTGGTCTTTGCCGCACATGTGCAGCTGGTTTGAAACCCTGAGGTCTTTCTCCTGAGCTGAGTGATCAGGCTGCACAGACCCCTACAGCTCTCTCTGCACCCTCTGTCGTTGTAAATCATATCAAAGTGTGGTCAAGTTCATTTCCAGTTGAACTGTCCTTCAGGCCCTGGATTGTAAACAGCCACTTTGTGCCGTGCTGTGCTGTGCTGAGGGAGGAAACAGGTTCAAAGCAGGCAGCCACAGTTCCCTTCAGTGCAGATCAGGACAGAGAACTTAGAGAAGAGTCCACCGAAATCCACGTCCTGACCAGGCCTATCAGATAAGCACTGTGGCGCCTTCCTTCCACCCCAACAACCACTCCTACAGAAAATTAAATGGGCTTTAGAGTGTGTACACAGATTTGTTTTCTGTTTCCTCATTCCCCGGTCATCCTATATGAGCTGAGTTATGGGGCCTGGAGGTGTGCTCTAACTATCCTTTCTCTGTTAATTCTCAAAGTCACTCTGCTTCACACACTAGGCTGAGGGTGCTGGGTGACTTGTCTGTTTCCTAAGCTCTCAGGATGCATCTCCAGGTATAACCTTGACATGACTGTCACACAGATAACAGAGGTCACATACCAGGACACTGAGAGAAATAAAAAAACATCCCTAAAGAAAATGGCAAAAGAGCTACCACCAGGATTGGCAAGCCATTCGCACACCAACGGAGGACTGTACCAGCTCAGAAAGCCCTCAGCAAAAGTGGCAAGAGGTCCAGTCTAAAGAGAGCCACACTTTCAATTTTTAAAAATTTTAAAACAGTCAAACTGCAGTTAATATCTCCCATCTTGAGTAATTAAGTTCTTAACCAAGTTGTTCACAGAAAATAATGTCATGGTTGTCAAACAAAACTTCTTCCATTCTTGACCTGACAAGTGACAAACGAGAATGAGGGAATATGAGTCAGTTTACCGCTTACCTCGCCGTGTTAATATCTCAGGAAATTGTGCTGTGAGTACTCTCTGATGAAAAAAAATGATTTGGTTTTGGAATGAATCACTTTTCAAAAAGCCTTCTGGCCCTGGCCAGTTGCTCAGTAGTCAGAATATTGGCTCTCAGATCAAAGAGTCATGGGTTCAATTCCCAAAGGCACATACTTTGGTTGCGGGTTCAATTCCAGGCCCTAGTGTGTGCAGGAAGCAATCAATTGATGTGTCTTTCTCACATCAATGTTTCTCCCCTCACCCCCACCACCCATCAACCCTCCCTCCACTTTGTCTGCAATCAATGGAAAAAATATCTTCAGGTGAGGATTTAAAAAATTAAATAAAAAAGCCTTCTGGAATTAATTAAGCTCGAGAACCAAGATTCCACTTACATTTTAAAAACTAAAAAATGAGTGTAATTCATTTTAATAATATGTTTTATTTAACCAAATCACCTTCAAATATAAAATTGATATATTTTATATTGATATATATAAAAAAGATGCAGGGCCAGTATTCTGAGGTATAGTAATTTAGAGGCTTACTCAGAAATTATTTTTGTACACTTAGTAGCTGTAAAGATCTCTCTAGTATTTTTGAAAAATTTATTTCAAGTACATTTTTGGTAGAGTATCTAAGGGCCTCAACAGGCTGCATAGAATGTGTGCTATAGGTAAGGCCATCCTCCAGGAGACTTTTTCTAAATCAAATTATAATTTTCTAAATCATAATTATTAATGAGATATTTTATAATCTTTTTTATATGAAATCCTAGCAAGCTGGTGTGAATGAGAAACAAAGGAAGTAAGCATGTGCTATATATACATAGCACATCTCAGCTTGGACCAGCCATTTTTCAAGTGCTCAGTAGCCACATGTGGCTAGTGGCTATTGTGTCACATAGCATTGTACCACACTGCCAGGTGACAGTCCCTGTGTGTCCTCTTTCCCAGTCCACAATTAAACAGTGGCCAAAGCAAGAATATCTACTTCCCTGAGTCTATGTTTAAGCAGCACAGTAATAACAGGCACATACCATTTATTTTGTGAGCAAGAACAGCTGACATGCCTAAAGAACTTGAGCATTTTACTGAGTCTGTAGGGCAAACAAGGGCTGGTTCCTGTCAAATTTTTTGATTTAGAAAAAGGAGGATGGCCTTACCTATAGCACACATTCTATGCAGCCTGTTGAGACCCTTAGATACTCTACCAAAAATGTACTTGAAATAATTTTTTCAAAAATACTAGAGAGATCTTTACAGCTACTAAGTGTACAAAAATAATTCCTGAGTAAGCCTCTAAATTACTATACCTCAGAATACTGGCCCTGCATCTTTTTCCTTTAAGACAGGGATTGAAGTAATTAAATGTCATTGCATGCATTCCATATAACATGGGATGGAAAGAATGGAGAACAGGAAGACTGGCCAAACCTTAAACACAGTTGTTACTTCTGTGGCCCAGGATGACAAGCTGTCTAGTCATCTACACGAGACGCTGCCAGCCTCTGAATATTAGCTGGCCTCTCAGATGGGCCCTCACGGGGTTCTGAGTCTAAGACAGGCTCAAAGTGAACTCTTCTCCGAGTCCATGTGGCACTGATAAATAAACCAGGAACCTTCTCTCCAGCCTTATTCATACTTATGTTGAACTATATGGTTTAAAGGACAT